AGGGGTCCAATGTTGCCCCTTTTGTTACCTTTTGTTTCTTTCCTGTAAACTGGTTTATTTTCTGCCAAGCCTTCTAGCTGGAGTGTGAAAAGTTACGCCGACTCCAGTGTTTCTTCTCATCAAGCTTTTATTACTGTATCTAAACGGCTGATGAGCTCTGTTGTATCATTGTTGGCTTGTTCTGGCTCAGCTGAAATGAAACTTTATTAGTAAACTGTTGGCATTTATCATCGCAGCCAGGGATATCATTTTTCCTATACCCTCTGGGGATACTATTCTTGGCACATCTAAGAAGGATGTCACAAAATGCAGTGTAAAAGCATTCACAGCTTGTCACGGCGGGGTCCTACAGGAAGGCCGTGATCTCCTTAAGGCCCCTTTCCTCCATGCCAAGTCAGCCCAAGGGCACCCACTGATTCTCGCCTGCCACGTCTTTGCTGTTTAGATAAGTTTGGGAGGCTGCCTTACATCATCTTGGACACGGTTCATTGCGACTTCTGTCCCCGTGGACCCCCGAGCCCCTTGTGGGTCTTGTCCTGCAAATGGGTGCTTTGGGGCACCCTAGCCTTATGGGCTATGTGTGGCTCCAACCACCCCTTATACCACGCCCGAAGCCTTGCAGCTGGAATAGACGTTGGTCTGTCAAATACCCCGAGCCCCTTGTGGGTCTTGTCCTGCAAATGGGTGCTTTGGGGCACCCTAGCCTTATGGGCTATGTGTGGCTCCAACCACCCCTTATACCACGCCCGAAGCCTTGCAGCTGGAATAGACGTTGGTCTGTCAAATATACACTCGCCCTCTCTGGGGCCTCTCCGTAGCGCTGCCCTCTCTCAGGGATCCTCTGCAGCGCCGCCTTCTCTCTGGGGCCTTCGCAGTAACGCTGCCTTTCTCTCCAGGGCCTTCTCCACAATGCTGCCCCTTCTGATAATACTGCCCCCTTCTCTGGGGCTCCTCAGTACTGCTGCCCTCTCCTCGGGCCTTCTTAAGTGCTGCCCCCTTCTCTGGGGCCTTCTCGGTAAAGCCCCCCATCTCTCGGGGCCACCACACTGCTACCCCTCTTCTCCGGAGCTCACCACAGTGCTACGCCCTTCCTCAGGGGTTCGCCACACCCGCACTGGGGCTTCTCAATAGTGCCCCCTCTCTGGGGCTCACCACGCCCGCACTGGGGCTTCTCAGTAGTGCCCCCTCTCTGGGGCTGGGGTCTATGCACCCCGTACGCCGTGCCCTCACTGGCGCTGGGGTCCGCACGCTGCTGTGGGTGCCTTATGAGGCCTCCTCCAACCCCTAATAGCCTCACCCAAACCACCAGTGAAACAACAACAAAGCAAAACACAAGCCCCTAGGCTGTAACATAACTTAAAGCTGCCTGGCTAAAACCATGTTGCTCAGACATCTTAGAGCTGCCATCCTTTACTCAGCTTAAGCTGTACCTGCGGTCAGGCTTCTTCTCGCATCCTGGCCTAGGAGCTCCTGCCTCTGGCTGCTGGCAGGGAACTTGCTTGGTCTCAGCTCCTGGGCTTTATAAGAGCCAGGCCCTGCCCCTTACAGCCAGCTGACCGCTGGCAGGTGTGGGTCGTTTGCTGACTCCAGTTGCCCTGGCAACCACCAGCTGGGCTCCTTATTCCCTCACTGCTAGGGTCCCTTCCCTAGCAGTTTCTCCTCCTTAGGAGCAGGGCACCTCAGTGCTCTGCGACACAGCTGTATTCCACGTGTTCAGCAGTGATTCAGCAACAGAATTTGTATCGGTTCTGAATTTTTCCCC